TCGCAGTATATCGTAGTATCATCACATTATTATTATTTCTGGTTTAAATAACCGTAAATTGACTTATTTTTCAGTGTTAATGATTTTATATCAGTTTGTTTGTTTCTAGCACATTTCAAATGAGCTGAACTGATTGTTTTAGTGTTAATATTTGATTTCTTTCAGATGTAACAGATGAAGGTTTTGCAGCCATTTTCTTATTTGTTGACACTTTAAGTAGAGAGAGATTACCGCTGTTAGAAAATTCTGCCTCTGAATTTTGACTGACCGGTTTTTCCGACTCAGTTCCACCTAATTACAGACTAAACGATATGATGTGAACGGCGGCATTAGCCTGAGTCTTAAGGGAGCTGTTCAGTAGCAGACTCTAATCTCAGCGTTTCAGTTTATTCAGGCTTGTTGAGGCCTGAACGCTGATTACAACAAGTGTCTCCTTCTGTGGTTTGTGGACTGGTAATCATCCAAGATGGAGGGAAGTTCCTGATGGCTCTGTTGATGTGAAACTGTCGGCCCGCTGTCATCCTGGCAGTTCATCGCGGGGATCTTTTTTGGGCCGGCTCTGATTTGCTGTTATCGCTGTCAGTCGGATAAAAAACGGGGCGGCGTGTGTAGACTCGACTGTAGGGCTCAGCCTGGTTGCTAGGCAACAGAGCAAAGACCTCCTTGGCAGGTCACTAGGCCTGTCTTTCTGTAGTGTGTGTGTGTGTGTGTGTGTGTGTGTGTGTGTGTGTGTGTGTGTGTGTGTGTGTGTGCGCGCACAGGTGTGTGTGTGTGTGTGTGAGTGACAGTGCAGATTTATGTACAAAAAGCTCAAAAGTGTGACTGCATCCTTCGCTGTGTTTTCTGTTGCTCCAGTTCTCTGTTTCTGTCTTTCTGACAAACTGCAAACACACAAATGAATTCTCCACCCCCTCACATTGCCTCAAACCCAGCTGTGCCCCCATCCCTTCCTGCCCACACACACACATAAACACACACACGCACGCAAACACGCACGCACACACGCAATCTCTCGCCGTTTGACTTCATTTCTTCTTCATTCTTTCTTTTCCTCTCTCGCTGTTAGTTTATCGTTAATTTCCTTGTTTAAGTTAAACCCTCATTCCAGTGTTTTTTAAATTAATTTTGTTTTAATAATCAATAACTAGTTATTTTTGTTGTTTCAAAGTGGTTATGTTTATGAGTCCTTACAAATAAACTCAAAAAGAGAAAAATTATCAAGAAAAATAAATGGTAAAATAAATACGGTAAACCAATAATAATAGCTCTCTGCTGACCTTTCACAAAAACAAACACATTTTAATTCACACAAATTAATCTTACGGCCTTTTTACCTCATTGTGTTACTATATTTTACCTTTTAATGTACTTTTTCTTGAGCCATGAATACCCTGAAGTACAGGTAACTACACAATATCAGCTCCTGCGCTACTCGCAGTGCACACACCTGGATTTCACTCGTCTACAGTCTCAACACACTCTAGTTTCCACAGAGTTTTAACTGGAAAACTCAATTTACGCCTCAAAATCTCTTCCATTTCATCCACTTTTCTCAGAGCTCTGCTAGTCGCTGCTGCTTACTCACCCTCTTTGCTCAACCACCTGCTCCTCGCTAGCTCCCGCCCCGTAGCCAATCACAATACAGCAAACTGACACGCTGTTGCATTGATGCGTGATGTAGACAGGTCCTGGAAGATAGCCACATCTTTGCAGATATTAGCCTGTGTTTGCTATAGAGGCTGCACAATTAATTGGAATTTAATCGAAATCACAACATGACCAAGTGCAATATCTAAATCATAGAAGCTGCTTTTTTTCTGATAAAGGTAAAATGTGAGACAACAGCATTATAATAAAGTACAGCATTGTTGTAGAGATGCTTTGGCCTACAAATGTTGTTCTCCAGTTGTAAGAAAATATGTTTTTTTTTTGTACAGACCCCAATAAAAGTTTTTTTTACCATAACGTGCCACCTAAGTTTGCATTAACGAAGGGTTAACACATTTTGAAACTGATAAGCAGAAGGAAAATACAGTTTTTGTATGAGTAGCCAATTCTAGGCATTTTGGATTTGGTTAAATTTGGAACCATATTTCGGTTCCCAACCCTCCCCGCTGTATCTTCTTCTTTTTTCTCCTTGCATTTCCCTTTTTCAGTCACCGTCCTCACAGTTTGTCTGTTCATTTGCATTACATAGTGCTACAGATGGACAGAGTTCAACCTGTTTACCGTCTTCACACTTCGCACTGACTGAAATCTAATGTACATGTAGGTCGTCCAGGTGTCCACTGATGTGTCCCTCTTGCACAAATAAACACTCACACATAAACAAACACAAGCACTCTGTTGCTTAACTACTAATAACCTGTGGAAAGTGCAGTCAGCCACCACAGTGCCTCATGAAAATGTAACGAGAATGTGAATAATTAAGATTAAACCAGAGCGTAACGTCACCCTGTGTGTGTGTGTGTGTGTGTGCGTGTGCGTGTGCAGGGTTTGTTCTCTTTTCATTTGAAATATCTGTTGCTGAAACGTGTGTCAATGTTTTTCGTAATCATGTACTTCAGTTTGGTGGTGATGTGAAACCAAACTGATGTCTTAATTAAATTTTTTGGTTAATACTGCAAGTCATTTTACTGTGGAAGTGGTTTAAATCAGCAGTGTGCTAGATTTTTATGTAAAAAAAACCCATCAGTGATAAGAGGTTAAACCACATATCCGGGTTACAGTACAGAGCATTGACCTGTTCTATTTATATAAATGGAGTTCTGGTGTTGGTCATGTTCATGTATTCGTCTGTAGGAAGCGAACTGATCAAAATTTAAAGGCATGGATTGTACTGTATTATTTCCATCTGGCCCAGAGTGAGACACACTCATGGATGTGTTTCTTCTGACTGTGTGTGCAGTTTAAGTCTTATTATGTACTTATTCTTACTTTTTACTAAGCCTGCAGTAAACCATCAAAAGATCTCGATTTAATAGTTTAGTTTCTTTTACAATTCCCTAATGCCTGAGCTGATATACAAATAACTGTCCGAAACCAAAATAAATTCAGTTTGTTCTCATTGAAGAAGAAAACCAGCAACATATTCACATTTGAGAAGCTAGAATCAGTGAATATTTGGCATATTTATCACATAATTGATTATAATTTATTGAAATCCAAGATGATGTGTTCAAATTGCTTTTTTGGTTTTTAAACAAAAAACAAAAATATTTATTTACCAACATATAAAACAGAGACAAGCACAAAATCCTTAATATTTGGAAGCTGGAACAAGGAGATGTTCAGTGTTTCTGGAGATCAAAAATAGTTGCTAATTTAATTAAGTACACACAAAATCCCAATATTAACAATTGGTTTGGAACTGTTTCTGCTGTGGCTGTTTGCACAGGTAAACAAGAAGTGAATTGGAGAACTTATAATATAGTAAATTGACAATAAATGATCTGCTGTGCGTGATTCAAAAGTTGCAAAGTAGTTCCCATTATTCAAAATGTTATTACTGATTTTCTTTTAATCTATAACTGTTCTTTTGAGCAGTGCCGCAGTCAAGACCACCTTTGTCAAAGTCCAGGATCAGGACTAGTCGAAGCCGAGTCCAAATGAGAGACACAGAGTCAAGGCCTAGACAGAAGAAAATAATGCTTTTGCCATTGCCAATAAAATAGAGATACAAGATGAACTTTATTGTCCCAGAGGGTAAAATCGTCTCGGGCACACTGCTACAATCTGTTGTTTCACACACACAAAAACATCACAAAGTCAACAGGAAAGAGACTTTTGAAGAGAGTTTCGGCAGCCAGGCATACGATTGCAAGTGACATTGATTGCTAACCATGGTTACCAGGCAGCCAGTGTCAATGCCTGTTCTAGATGGATTTTAAAAAATTTAATACCAATACCAATAATTCTCTGAACAAGCGCGCTTCATCTGTGGGGAAGTCTAACATATATATTGCTGCACTGAGCCGAGACCAACTAGAATATCTTGTGAGGCCAAAGGCAAAGTCAGAGTGCAAACACGAGTCAGAACAGAAATAAAGTCTCGGAGACCGTACTCGAGTACGACAGCACTGCTTTTGACATACATAGATGGTCGTAAATGGAGCAATACTAGACTTTGTCCCATGCATTCTCCAAAAAACCTGACTGGACCAATTCGGTCGATTATCTGCCATATCAGCTAATATCTGTACTCACGAGGCCGATAAACACACATCTGCAGGCGGGCTTGTCAGTGTGGCTGCTGTGGAACGACGTTGGCGTTCTCCCCTTTGAGAGAGAGATTGGGAATTGCAGTGAAAGAGTTGGTTTTGAGCTTTCATGCATCCTGGTGTAAACATATTTCCTTATTACAGAATAGAAAATAATTATAGATGACATAGATTCCTTGTTTTGATATTGGCATTATGTATCAGCTCTTCGCAGCCCCGGTGTCTAAATATAATATTATATCAGTCCACCACTAATCCTTTTTGTGTGTGTATGTGTGTTTCTGTCTTAACCACCAGAAAGTGAACATTAATCCAAAGCCTAACCTTTTTTTTTAATTTTATTTGCCTATTTATTTTCCTTTAGAAAAGTGGGTTGGGATCAGAAACCATGTGTTTATATTGGGCAGAAAGCATGCATGATATTTATTTTAGCACAACTTCAATCAGTCAAATCAAAGTGCAGAGCCTGCTGCCATTGGAGCTGCCTCTGTGGGAAGTTTCCTGTGGCACCTTTGAATGTTTATGTGATTATGAGATATCCCACCATGCTTTGGTTGAACATAAAACCATCTAAACTGAAGCAATAAAACTAAATATAGATGTCGACAGCAAGGAAGGAGCAAATGGGAACTGCTGAAATACGAGTAGCCTATTGTGCAATGACTAAATGCCACATAATTGACATATTGATTCATCTCTTTGTTGCTACTGTGTCGCCTTATTTGGCATCACAAGGAAGCCTGAGTTAACATACATTTTTTGTCTTCTCTCCTCTCACAGTGTGCTGTTTTGTGGTCCATAAGCGCTGTCATGAATTTGTCACCTTTTCCTGTCCGGGGGCCGACAAGGGACCTGCCTCCGACGTAAGGAAAAGAAGAGACAGACACACACACACACATACACACACACACACACATCTGGAAAAGAGCTACACAACTAGCTTTATTTAATTTGCTGTAATTAAAAGGGAATCCACAGTGAAGCAGATCACTCGGCTCCATGTGTTTTAGGTTAACTGTTTATTATGCACATGGTTAGTGATTGTTTTTGCTTGTTTAGCAAGGTCAGCACTGGCTGTAGGTGTTTGTGTACTTCCATGTAGTTCCTGTATTTGCTGCTGCTAGATGAACACACACACACACACACACACACACACACAATGTAACCTCTTGTCCTTTCTCCTGCTGAGCTGTCAGCCCCAAATCACATTGAGACATGTCAGTAAAAAGAGAATGTGCTGCCTGGCTGCCTCAGGTTAATGAGCCAGTATCTCTCTTTCACTTACACACACACACAAACAAACACACACAATTTGTGAGTCAGCATGGATTTTGAAGTCATATGACTGATGTTTATTAATCTGTAACTCCTCTGTTTTTCTTTGTTTTTGTTACATCACGAAAGCTGTTCTGTTGTTTTTCCCTATTTTTGAGCATCCTCCAAACTCTCTCAATCAGTACTCCATTTTCTGTCTCTCTCTTAATATTTTTTACTTTTGCTATCTGTCATAATGAAGCAATAGTTAAAGGATCAGTTCACCCAAAATAGAAGGAAAATATAAATTTATTTCACCTCTGCTGTATTGATGTGGTACAACAGGACAGATCTACTTTTAATCTCAGGGTGTTTTTTATGGTTTAAGGTCTAGGCCTCTTTGTTACATTTAAGGGAAATCCTCACGATGCACAACAAGATATTTTGGACTATAGAACTGTTTAGCCTTAGTGGCAACAGTTTGGGGAAGATTTTTTCCTGTTTCAGCGTGACGATGGGTCTGTGCACATAACAAGGTCCAGAATGAAGTGGTTTTCCAAGTTGGTGTGAAAGATTTTGACTGGCCTGCACTGAAGGTCTTATCACCCAACATCAGTGACCAATCTGTCACATGAGCCTCTAGCTGAATGGGAGGAAATCACTGCAGCCTGCGATATATGGTTTTATTATGATTGTAGTAACATTATAATTCACTTGCTTTAAGAGTAAGATGTTCAATAATCACATGTGGCTGTTCTGCCCCCTCGACACCAGATACTCCTCGTCGATCAGTAGTGATTTAAAGCTAGTAGTTGACTAGTCGTTGCATGTTTATGATATTAATTTAATTATTTAAATACACATTTAGCTATATTTTAACAGCTGCCTGTTAAATACTAACAGCAAGCGTGGTAATGACTGTGAATGTGTCAGAACAACGAGCAAGGAGACTTAACATTTAGTTAATTTATCAATACCATGGATGATGTGTAATGTTAACAGTTTAACTGGATTACTTAAATATTGAATTCATGTGTCTTCTCTTTCTCTCCTCTCTGTTTATGCCTCTGCAGGATCCTCGTAGTAAACACAAGTTTAAGGTCCACACCTACTCTAGCCCGACCTTCTGTGACCACTGTGGCTCCCTCCTCTACGGGCTGATACACCAGGGCATGAAATGTGACCGTACGTACACAAATATATATGTGTGTGTGTGTGTGTGTGTGTGTGTGTGTGTGTGTGTGTGTGTGTGTGTGTGTGTGTGTGTGTGTGTGTGTGTGTGTGAGAGATAAGATCACTGAGTGTGTGACATAAATGAACCCTTGTTCTCACATGTTGACAAACCTTTTATAGATGTAGAATTTTGAATAGGTCATACTATGCTCATTTTCAGGTTCATACTGGTGTCTACTATAATAAGATTACATTTTTTTTAATTTTTTTATTTTTTTACCTCTGTTCACTGTCTGACACACTCGGTTTTGAGCGCGAGAGGAATTGGTGTGTTTGCTCGTACCTTCCACATCTTTGTGTCACTTAGCCTATAGGTGTGCTGTGTTTCTCTATGAGGTCACACAGAAACCGAAGAAAAGGCTGAATACAAACGAGGCGTGTCGGGCAGTGCAGGAGCAGTGTTTTCTTTGGGTGACAGTAACTCCCTCTGGCATGGTCTTTGTCACCTCTCAGAACTTTTACATGCACAAGATCTATATAACATATTCAAAGCACACAGGCATAATATGGCCTCTTTAATATAATCTTATATACTGATTTGCCTTTGGCAATGTGATGTTTGACTACATTAATGTAGTCAAAAGCACATTTTTGTTTTTGCTTATTTTAAACTTCATCCAAACATCACTATATAGTATGTGAAAAGTGTCTTTGTGATGCTTTTAATTTCAGAAAACTTCATACTTTTACTTTCAGGTATCTGGGCCATGGGTCAGAAAACAAAGAAATGGCTTCTTAAAATTAAATCTGACTGAAATAATTAGACTTTTTATTACTTTTTAAACGTTCATATCCACATTTTGCTTGTCGTTGATAATCACGATCTCTGAATTTATATTGCATACATCATTTAAAGTCATCAATCTGCTTATGAGTCACAATGAGAGACAGTTGAATATATATATATATATATACTGCTTAATGACTGACAATTTGGAAAGATATTATCAGCTTCTCATAACAAAGAGTGAATCGTTTTTACATTCATGCTGCTGTGTCATATATATGCTGACCATTTGCCTGTCGTTGGAAACAAAGACACAAACAGGAAGAGGGCTATATCTCTGCAATGCTGTGTCCAGCCATGACAAATATCATTTAGTGGGCAGACAGTTCCTCATTGTACTTGTGTGCAGCACACAGTGTTTGATGGGCTCCGACTCTGCAGCAGTTTTTATACATTTATATTTACTCATCAGATGTACGTAAAAAGTCACATTAAAGGATGGATGGTTCGTGTTTCTTCTGAAAATATTGGAGCAGCTTATTCAACAGAGTTCACAAAGGTGTTGTCAGGTTATATATTAATCCACATAAACAAATACCGCAAGAGGAAGCTCTGAGTTTCTTGCAAATTTTATTCATATTAACAAATGTGGTTTTTATTTAGACTACACAAGAAATAATGGAAATGTAGTCATGTCCCTGAAATCCATTTGCCTAATTATTAACTTTATATCCTATTGTACAGAATAAGAGGACAATTGGGGATAAGAATGGTTTGGTTAGGATTTGGCACTAGTTAAATTTCAACTTGGAAAAGCAATAATGAACTTCTGTCAAACACCGATACTTGTTTTTTGAAGTTTCTCAGTTGTAGGAAGCAAGACCACATTGACCTTCTCACCTGTTCTTCAAAAGTCTGGCTAACTTTCTGTATTATGAGCTTTGTACTAGAAGGACTTAAAACAAGGTAACAAAGCTCTTAAAACACAAACGAGGGATTTAGATATTTTACATTTGCTACCATGATGAGATGTGTTGTTCTGCACTTGTTTTAATAGAAAGTGTAGCTGGGTGGACCCAGATATCAACTTGTTGCACATGTTTAGCACACTGCCTGATGGAGATATGAAATAAATTTATAAAAAGAAGTTGTCATGGAATGTAAAACATACAGGCAGCAAAAGATTACCTTCTCACTCTGCACCGCTGCACCACCTCCAGTGAACCGAGTAAAATGTGGAGCATTGTGCATCAGAGCAGTCTGCCACCTAGTGGACAGAGTGAGAAATTACATAAAGAGTGCTTGAGTATTGTTTTCAGTGTTCACCGGTTTTTATGTTTACCTTTGTACTCAATGTAAATGAATCTAAAACAATCCAAAAGTAGTTTAGTAAAATTGTATTGCCATCATTAGTCAGTAAAGTCACAGTATTGTAGATTTTTGTAATTGTTACTGTCTAAATTAATTTACTGTTTTAGTCAAATCCAAATTTAAAATTCAAATTTTACTACAAGGCATGAACAAATACATAAACCGTGTGCCAGTTAGGGCCAGTGTAGAATACAAGATTTGTTGCCCCAGTTTACCTGTTCCAGACACATTTCTTAGGTCTGAGACAAAAACCCCTGAGTGGGCACGCTATTCGCAACCTGTGTACATCTCAACGGGTCCTCTAGTTTTAGCGCTCCCGAAACGGGTCCCGACCATGTCACAAGCTGCCCGAGAGGCTACGTAACTTTTAATACATGTTTTTATTTAATCTTAGCCAAAAATAAGATGCACTTGTAGCAGATTAGGACACTGAAAAAGAGTTCTGGGATGGTATTAAAGGTCACTTTATCAGCATAAGCAAAAAATGGTCCCCATGTCTTCTTAAAATTGTTATCCTAAATTTTTTAATTTTAACAAAGTGGAAGATATCTCCAAGAATGACGGGTTGGTGGAGCGGAAGATTTTTCACATCAGAATCAGAAATACTTTAATAATCCCAGGGGAAAATTACTTTCGTAACTCAGATATACATACAACATAATATATTAAGAAAATGTACAGTTTAAAATGTGCAAACAGTGCAAAAAGGATTGTCCGTGTTTGAGGTCAGATTACAGAGAGGGGGTGTCTGACTCTCTGAGGGAGGCGTTATAGAGTTTAATGACCACAGGCAGGAATGATTTCCTGTGGCGCTCTGTGGTGCATCTGGGTGAGAGGAGTCTTCTACTAAAGGTGCTCCTCTGCTGGGCCAGTGTGACATAGAGAGGGTGTGAGACATTGTCCAAGATAGACTGTAGCCTGGACGGCACCCTCCTCTCTGCCACAGTCGTCAGGGTGTCCAGCTCCTCCCCCACGACATCACCGGCCCTCTTGAGGAGTTTATTTAGTCTGTTGTTGTCTGCAACCTTCAGCCCACTGCCCCAGCATGTGACAGCGAAGAAGATCGCACTGGCCACAACAGACTCATAAAACAGTGACCACATGATAAGAATCAGGCACCGAGCCATGAGAGTTACAAAAGCTATAAAGTTCTTCATATAATTCGATATCGCAGGCGTGAGGGTGGCTCAGAATAAAGCAGTGATTGCAGATGGTTTGACAGGGACGGAGATAATTTCCAACCAGAAGTTATGCAGAGAGGGGGGAATGTCCAAAACCTATGAAGATGGTTTATATAAGTAAAATTACTGACTTGACTGACGTGCATATTTGTGTGTCTCTTGTTCAGACTGTATGATGAACATCCACAAGCGGTGTGTGGCCAACGTCCCGAGTCTGTGTGGGACAGATCACACTGAGAGGAGAGGACGCATCCAAATCTCTGCTCACATCGCTGAGGACAAGCTCACCGTCACCAGTGAGTGCACTCTCCTTCTGTCGTACACACACTGAGCGAACTCTCAAAGCTCTCTGTCAGAACTAAGACTAAAACTGGAAAGTCCATTAGTCGATCAATGATCCAACGATTGACCCACATCACCACTGGGACATGCGTCCACGTGCCAGCTCTCTCTCTCTCAGACAGCTGTGGATTGATTATGGAACAGAAACTAAACTGTTGTTAAGTGTTGTCAAATGTAGCCAGAGTTATTTAGGGCAGCCAGAATGGGACACTTACAGCTTCACATCCCGCTGTCCTCTGGAAAGGACAAATCCAGACTTTAACACAAAACAATCTAAAAGTGTGTATTATCTTGGGATGTTTTCTTCTTCTGACATTTTAACTATTTCCTCAACCTCTCGCAGTCAAAGAGGCTAAAAACCTGGTGCCCATGGACCCCAATGGCCTGTCAGACCCCTACGTCAAACTCAAGCTGATCCCAGATCCCAAGAGTGAGAGCAAGCAGAAGACCAAGACCATCAAATGTTGCCTCAACCCCACCTGGAACGAGACCTTCGTTTTGTGAGACATCTCTCATTCTGTACCATACCTCCCACCTGACAATGATCTTGTTTTTGGCATTGTTGGAGTATAACTTGTTTGGTTTCTCTCTTGGCCCCATTTTCTGTCACAAAAGCACAAAGCTAACTGGAGCTCATGCAAGTGACCCTGTCCCCATTCTTCCTGTTTTTTGCTTGAAGCTATTCTGGGTTGCTGTGACTGCTAGAAAAGGCACAGGCATTAAAAACTGTCATTTTCATTTTTTGCGGAGGTGTTTAGTAGTTTTAATAAAATCAAAATGTGATCTCGGTTTTCTAATTGACTTCTTCTGACTGTCCCTGTTTTCTCTAATTTCTTAGCAACCTAAAAGAAAGTGACAAGGACCGCCGTCTGTCAGTGGAGGTCTGGGACTGGGATTTGACCAGCAGGAACGACTTCATGGGATCTCTGTCCTTTGGGATCTCAGAGCTACAAAAACAAGGGGTAGATGGATGGTAAGATGTCGAGATGAGGAAATATGAGATGGTGGATAATTAGGAAAGTTACACAGGTGGAGACTGAAATAACAAAGGCAGAGGAAACAGGGATGTGAATATTTAAGGACTTTATTGTCACAGTCGGGTAATAATTCTGGATTTGATCTGACACTGCTCTGTTTCATTCTGTGGTTTAGGTTTAAGATGCTGTCTCAGGAGGAAGGGGAATACTTTAATGTTCCTGTGCAGCCGGAGGGAGAGGAAGGTAACGAGGAGCTGCGACAAAAGTTTGAGGTGAGACAAAGAAAATGAAAACAGGTTAACTTATGATGTTTAAATATTAGGGTTATTTATTCTGTCTCTGCCTTCTCTCTCCAGAGGGCGAGAGTGGGTCCAGGGAAGCCCACAGACTCTTCTTCCTCCTCCTCGGTGTGCAAGTATGACAGCAATGGCAATCAGGACCGGGTCAAGCTCTCCGACTTCAACTTCGTCATGGTTTTGGGCAAGGGGAGCTTTGGCAAGGTGATGCACGTTAGTAGACAAATGTTTTCCTGTGGTGAGAAATTGGAGGCAGTGGCTGGAAAACAACGTGAAATGACTCAAAAGCTCATGTGTTTCCTTTTTGTTGACCTCACCCAGGTGATGCTGGCCGAGAGGAAGGGTACAGATGAGTTGTACGCCATCAAAATCCTGAAGAAGGACGTGGTGATCCAGGACGATGATGTCGAGTGCACCATGGTGGAGAAGAGAGTCCTCGCTCTCTCTGGAAAACCACCTTTCCTCACTCAGCTGCACTCCTGTTTCCAGACCATGGTAGGGTATCTTGTATTAACAAAGACGAGCACATACAGAAACACAACAACTCACAACAGTGCTGACTGATTATCATTATCCTCCGCTCCTTCTTCACCTCTTCATCTTCCAACAGTCATTCATTGCAGAAATTGTCCACAACTACAAAAAAACTTGTGTTTGACGATATTGAGATTTATTAAAAATACAGATGTCATTGTGACTCAGCAGCGTCTCTGCTGTCTACGCAAATTAAACTCCTTTGGAATAGATCAAAGAATATTGACAATGTTTTTCTCATTTATCTGCTGGTTTACATCTCAAGAACGGACTGTAAGGTGTTGTTATTTATGTGTTAAATTTTTGGTAAAACACAGCACAGGTTCAGCTTTATGCCGAACAAGTCCTCAGAAAAGCATATAAGATCATAAACGACCCCACACATGTCATCTGTGGCGATTTTAACCTGCTGCCATCAGGAATGTGTTTTAGATTGCCTGTATGTAAAACAAATAGAAGCTATTAGACTTATGAACAATACAAGAAAAGGTCTATGTGTGTATAAACTGACAGATAAACCTGCACTTTGACCTTATTTTAATCCTTGTTTATGTCCTCTATGTCATACTTACATTATTTTTATGTGTGTAAATTAATTGTCTATGTGTACATCTGTTTGCACACTTGCTTCACCTTGAAGGGCCGAATAATATATTTTGAATTTGTATTTGTCTCGTAGGACCGATTGTATTTCGTCATGGAGTATATAAATGGAGGAGATCTTATGTACCAGATCCAACAGGTCGGCAAGTTCAAGGAGCCTCATGCTGTGTGAGTACACGCACAGACAAACACACACACACAAACACACATACACACATACACAGAAGAGTTGCATTATAGGACATTTTATGTGATGGTAACAATATTCTCATACCTGCAAAACTCTATCTTGTATTTTCTGAATGCAGTTATCGGCTAACAAGACAGTTGAATTTGTCACATGCTTGCAGCAACTTTCTGTTGCACTAATTAGAAAATAATTAAGTCACTTGCTTTATTATTTATGCTGGTGACTACAACAATTCTATTATTTTTATTAACCATGATATTGAACTTTAAATAGTTCATAATAACTTAATTTAAACTGAAAAATATTGGGCAACTTTGACATCACAAATATGGACGCACCATAATAGAGGATTGCTTTGGGGTTAGGGTCCAGGCGGTTTTGACTATGCTGCGGGTGGGAGCGGGCTTTAGCTTCGACCCACCACAGTGATGGAGGCTGAGGCAACAAATTAAGTTGAAAAAAAAAAGATTAAAGCAGGTTTTTACAAATTAAATAATTTAATTGTACGTGTGTGAAAGTCCACCGGGAATGGGCAGAAATGGGATTTAGAATCCAGTCCCGCACAAGGCTCAACACCATACTGTGTATCAACATCAATGCAGACATACAGGTATGGTTAGAAACTGTTTTTTGTCTGTATTTTAGGTTCTATGCTGCAGAGATTGCCATTGGACTCTTCTTCCTTCATTCCAAAGGCATTGTGTATCGGTGAGTGAATCATCTCCAGTCCGATTGTGCAGTTTACAATCGTTTCAGAATACAGGTGTGAGAAATGCCTGTGTGTGTGTGTGTTTGTTTTCAGAGATCTGAAGCTGGACAACGTGATGCTGGACTCTGAAGGCCATATAAAGATAGCTGACTTTGGCATGTGCAAAGAGAACATGTATGATGGAATTACCACAAAGACATTTTGTGGAACACCAGATTACATCGCTCCAGAGGTGTGTTTACATGTTGAGAGGTGGCTGATACTGTTTTTCTTTTAATCTTTTAACTTGTGAACAAGACTCAAGACTCTACCATTGTGTCTTGTAGATCATAGCTTATCAGCCCTATGGGAAGTCTGTGGACTGGTGGGCCTTTGGAGTGCTGCTCTATGAAATGCTTGCTGGACAGGTTTGTATTAATTCACTGTATCAAACCTTTTTATTGAGAAATAAAGAACTGAGAATGATTGAAAGTATATTTGTGCCCATCCAGCCGCCTTTTGACGGGGAGGATGAAGATGAGCTGTTCCAGTCGATCATGGAGCATCATGTCTCTTACCCTAAATCCATGTCCAAAGAAGCTGTTGCAATCTGCAAGGGGGTGAGGGCACATGCTCAAATGCACATATACACAGAGACTCAGTCCTAATCGGAGCCCTTAACCTGCTCTGTATCCACTCCGAACACTGGAGAGTACGCCACATTAAGGGCTGTTAGTTTGAAGTGTGTAAGAATAACCCCAACACTGAGGCTACACCACAGCTGACTTAGCATTGTCCAAGGTGTGCTCATGTGAGTAAAACTTCCCCACTGATCTCTGGACAGCCTGATTACCCTACATTAAATACCAATGTGGGGATACTGAATGACAGGTCTGCTACTCAGTGTAGTGTGTGGTGCTGACAGCACTATAGCTATCTGAGGTAGCTATTAAAGTCACTTTTTTCTTTCAGTGATAGCGCCACCTATGTTCAGGTGTGTTATGGTAGTAGTAGCTAACGTAGCCTCTGCTTCAGGTAGAGATCAGGAGTGGGCTACAGATGTCTGGTAAGCTCGCTTCTTTCTTTTCCCACACCTGCAGACAACACATATGCAGTAGTACTCCTCAAGACCTGTAGACAGACTTAAATATAGGTCAGTAAGAGATTCTTAATTTTGGTAATTCAATCAATTCAGTTTATTGTCCAGCCCTAATGGAGTTTACCTGCTTATTTACCACCTCCCCCTTAATGTGGCGTGCCCTTCACAGCCATGAGTATGACTTCATGCAGAGTGACAAACTGTAGTGAAGGGCTAATGTGTAGGTTGGTTTGGAAAATGGCCACAGACACACACACACACACACACACACTCCTCCAAACTCTTCTCACCTTGTATATCTGTGTGTGATTTTTAGCTCATGACCAAGCACCCAGGTAAGCGTCTGGGCTGTGGTCCAGAGGGCGAGAGAGACATCAAGGAACACGCCTTCTTCCGCTATATAGACTGGGAAAAACTGGAGAACAAAGAGGTCCAGCCGCCTTTCAAACCTAAAGCTGTGAGTATTTTACACACACACGCCATCTTCAGCTGTTGAATATCACCTGAACTTCACTGATTAACTCAGAATTTAGTCACAGTAAGGAAGGAAATAACATGCTTAGTCAAACTTTCAAGGTAAGTTATAGAAACGATTAGATCGCTCATCCCCCGCACCCAACCATCGCCTGCCATTGATCACTACGCTGACAAATGCAGAGCTGAGATTTGTGAGTGTAGTCACCAATGATGAAGCTAAGATTTCACTGGCTCACATACGGACCAATGGAAATCCACAGTTTCGGCTGTGAGTGATTTTATTGGTTGATACCATGTTTTTAGTTGTATTTCTCTTTTTTCTCTTTGTTGTTTGTTATTGTCCTTTTTTTCTTCACATTACCTCATCAAACTCACTCCATCCTCCCCCCCATCTCTCTCTCCATCTCTCTCTCTCTCTCCTCTCTCCTCTCCTCTCCTCTCCATGGCAGTGTGGGCGTGATGCGGAGAACTTTGATCGCTTTTTCACACGCCACCCCCCAGAGCTGACCCCCCCAGATCAGGAGCTTATAGCCAACCTGGACCAGGAAGAATTCCAAGGCTTCTCATTTGTTAACCCTGAGTACCCTCACACAACTCACTGACCATGCCACATATCACTGGGCTGCACTAGTAATCCCCCACACCTCGGAAACATGCATTAAAAAAATTCATAAAAATACAAAAATCACCATGATGTCATATCCAGGCTGCATTCGGCAGGGTTGAAACGTTAAAGGAATAGTTCATGTTTTGGGAAATACGCTTATTCGCTTTATATTTTAAGAGTTGGATGAAAATATAGATATTAACCTTGTTGTCTGTGCATGAAGTACAGAGCTGGAGACAGAAGGTTATTAGCCTAGCTTAGCATAAAGACTGGAAGCAGGGGGAAACAGCTAGCCTGGCTCTCTTCAAAGATTAAAAAAAAGACACTTGAACCTCTAAACATGTTCTATCTAGTTTATTTAAAAAAAAAAAAAACATAGTTACACTATATAACTGCTCCTAAAGTCGGGAAATTTTAGAGTCACATGACAGACGGACACAGCTGAAGGCATCAGTAAACTACTTTTTGTTAGTGTGTCTATTGGTAGCGCAAGAAGTTTGTCAGGGATAAAGCACAAAAAAACAACTGCCTTTTGAAAAGTAAAAAAATCTCCACAGCAAAGGAAAAAAATCTGTCACGCTTGTAAATCTTTTTCTGTTTAGTTTTTACAGCAGCAGCCTACCTTATCACTGTGATTCAAATGATTCCCATCATCCTCAGCTGTACTTGGTGCTTGGTCGTAATTAGTAAATAACAAAGATGGTGAACGTGGTCAACATTATTAACCTATTTAATCTGCCAAACATCCGCATGTTAACTTTATCATTTTGAGCGTGTCAGCATGCTGATGTCAGCATTTAGCGCAGAGCACCACTGTGCCTACACACAGCCTCACAGAGCTGCTGTGTCTTGTCAGATTCTTTAATGTGAAGGTCTGTCGCGCAGCAAAAGACTTGCACCAGTTAAGAGCTTGCAACAACCAGTCGTAGTAAGCCAGCCGTAAGCATGCTAGCAGATTAGCTCACTAGTGGTAATCTAGTGCGGCTACCTCCTGCGGGTCATTGCAGGTCGCACGAAAGTCTGCTCTGTAAAAATGTGTCTCTGTGTGTGGATTAAACAAATAAGATAAAATGTCTTAATTAGTAAACTAGTTCTGGTTGCTCTATTTTTCAGGAGAGGTGGTTCCCCTGGTTTCCAGTGTTTATGCTAATTGTCTCCTGGCTCCAGAACTGTACCTAATGCACAGTCATAAGAGTGATATCAATCCCATCGAGATATATATATATATATGTATAAAGATGGACGACATGACAGCTCTCCTAAAGTGAGGCCAAAACACCTTGATCGCCCCCTGGTGGCTGACTGTCGAATAGGGTATAAAGCCTGTTGCCTCCTTCTTAGCAGATAAAATCAAAATACACGTCAAATATTTTTTTCCCAAAGAAGGTTTCTGTAATTTTATGTAGTTCATGTAGTTCTTATCACACTGAAGTAAGTTGAAGTGTGTTCCAACTGGTTTGGTTTAAATTAGTTAGCCTATTTGAAGCTATAAAAAGGGGGTTTCACGTCATTATTGACAGACGAGCCCAGTCCTTGAGGCGGGACATGGATACCACGCCACGTTCACTACCGCACAGTTTCTGGCTCCGAAATAACGTAATCAGCGCAACATGGCAGCGACCGTATCTGGGATATTTTGGCTTCATCCGTCTTTTCTATGTCGATGATCAATCCAACTTCTGGAAAGAAATCCAAATAAGCGTATTTTCTCAAAATGTCAAACTATTTCTTTTCCATAACGTTCAGATGGAAATGCAGACAGGTGCTCAAATGCTAACAATCAGGAGAAATAATCAGATAGTCTTGTGTCAAGTTGCCAGTAGGACCTAGATTTGTTTTCAGTTTACTTTGGTTTAGCGTGTCATGTTACACTGCTGCTCTCATATCAGCTCTGCTGGCTGTATTTCTATCTTTTAGTGCAGAATTGTTGCTCCTGAATGCTGCCCGGCTGCTCACACCAGCAGGTTCACGTTGGAATCCGACCTCAGGGCCGACCTGAACCTGCTCTGTCTCTGTGTCACCCTCCCTGTAATTGCATATTGACTATGCCGACCTATCAGTGATATTGATGAGTGTACTATGATCACATATTGGTAATATTCATACAGTGTAAGTGAAAACTGACCAATTGCTTTGCTATGATTGTTTGAGTACTAATCAGTTTCCTAATGTTGACTTTACTTTTGTCTATAGGACCAAATACTTCTACACTTTATGTTCAGTCAGTGTTGTGGTGAGCTTTTTTTGCTGATTTAATTTTTAACCAGTCAGAGGATAGAAGTCTTAATACAGGCAGTCTGCAAGAGCCTACGTCAATTTAGTGATTTTTGACTAAAAGCTCATTATTTTTCTCCTGATTCATTACTGAAAACATTCACCACATTACACTGTGTTTTTAATGACAGAGGGCATATCTCTTAGCTTGTAAACAAACATTTTTGGAGGATTTTACATATGACGAAGCCCTGCCGAGTCTCGTGAAGGTGGTAGTTTGTTAGCTTACAAAAACAGGATGTCCAAAAGTGCCAAAATAGGGTTCAGAGTAACGAGGATGTAGAAAGCTATTGTCCTCAATAACTGTGATGAAGGGCAGCCATCTTGTGCCATTTTGCAGTACATGTATAATTATTAGAATATGCATTATAGCTTATCTGTTCTCCAACAATACAATACCCTTGGAAAATCATTTTCATGTATAAAATGAATTGTCTGAGAAGACGTGTGTTTCATTGTGAGGCAGGTTGTATTATCCTTTTGTAACTGTGTAACGATGCAGGTTAGTAACAATGTGTCAAATCTTGTTCTTTGAGCTCGTATCAAAAAGGGAGGCGGCAGCGTGGTGACACCTCAGATTGGTTTCTGTTATACAAAGATGCTCGCTGATAATGACGACGATTCTGCCAGGGGGGATTTAAAAAAAAGAAGCAAGCACTTATTGTGACGATGGTAATGGTGATGAATCGATGGTGACTTAAGAGATATTATAGAGATAAAAAAAAAAAATATATATATATATATATATATCGAGTTCTATATCAGAGAGATATTTGGATAAATTGTTCTGGATGAGAGAGATGCTCCTGTGGATTGTGTAATTGTCCTGTATGACTGGAAACTGATAATATACTCACTGGTGCCTACCAGACTCCCTCTGCTGTGTCTGCCTTGTTACTGCTGCTACACCCGAAATGGTTACACTTTAAAGAGATAGTTCATCATCATTTTGGGATATGTTTTTGTTTGGTTTCTTGCTGAGAGTTCGATGAGAAAATAAATTCTGCTCTCATATCTGGAAGCTAAGTTAGCGCCAGGAGACTATAGTTTAGCTTAGCGTAATAATTGGAAACGGAAAAACCGGCCAAACGCGTTACGTGTTGTTTGTTTAATTTGTATTAAAGCTGCTCTCATTCATAATGCTAAGCTAAGCTTAGCTGAGCGTCTCCCAGCTGTAGTTTCAGATGTGATGGACAGACATGAGAGTGGTATTGATCTTCTCATCTAACTCTTAGCAAGAAAACCAATACGTGTATTTTCCTAAAATCGGTATGTGAACACTTACGCATCAATGTAACTGTAAGCAGATATTAGGACATTTTAAGTGTTTATTAATGCGTTTGTCAACAGTTATAACTTCTCCTATGAAGCATCCATAACCAGTGTATCAGCAGTTAGAGGGGGGTTAGGGAATGGCAGAAACTGGTGTGTTCGTTCTCTCTGAGTGGCTGACTGAGCAGGTTTATAGGGGCTTACTTTTCTGTCAGGAGTACATAGAATATGAAACATTTCATATACTGAAGGCTTCTAAAACCAATAAACACTATAAATTGATGTAAGATACTTGTGTTTAATCATTGAAAGAGATATTTCTCTAATGTTGCACAAATAAGAAACAAATTGTTGTGTACCACTGCAGTGTTTTGCTTGTGAAGGAGTTAGTTGTGGGTTATTAATTGTCGTCTTTATAGAGTTATGACTGTTTGGCTTTTCAGTTAATAGGCCGCTCTCAATACACGTTACACAGCTTGCCCCCCCGACTGTAGCGCTCTTTATGGCAAAAACAGTATGGCTGCCTCTTGAAGAGTTACAGCAGTTCTTTCAGCTGTGCACCAGTATAACAAATGTTTCCAGTTTTTGAGCTGTAACCTCGGCTGTCTGACAACTTGTACAGCGCTCGTTTCTCTCTGTCCGGCTATTATTACAGACATATCTAAACTAACCACAGACACTCGACTCACTCATGGACTCAACGCTTTTGTAGAGCCATTAACGTTTAGCCCACGAAGGTCTACGGCTTAATAACACAAAAGCATAGGAAAACTGTAATGCTAAATAAAATGTATTGTATGTGTGTATGTATGTTTACTAACACAAAAAGACAAATAACCCAAACAGATTCATCAGTGGATGGTGTTTTTCAGTTGTCCTGGAGTGAGAATAAGTATTTCTAAATAAATAACTAATACATGTAATAAACAAATATTTCATAATTTATGTTAATGTAAAAGATGAATCTATATTTTATGTTCTTACAGCTGTGTTATTGCGTTAATGAAAATGAAATGTTTATATACAAGTTACAGATGCTTCATAGGACTTAAAGTTGTTGGCAGATACATTAATTAAACTATAACACTCCCAAAGTCCCTTTTATTGCTTTCAGATAACAAGATGTCAATCTTAGTTATGAACCATTTATTAATTGCTATGAACCGCAGATAAAGAAACTACATAATAAAATAAAATGTTAATAAAACAAACACACTGCAGAGATGAAATATGCTGCGTCACACCTTCCCTCATACACAAAGATGAGCTGAATTAGTGGTGAATTCATGGACCAATGGTAGAGGTGCGAAGGTTTCCAGCCCCTCCTCATTTCAGCTGGAAGCCCTGTGATGAGACAAAAGGAGGAGGTAGGAAACTAAATGCTTTGTGTGTGTGTGTGTGTGTGTGTGTGTGTGTGTGTGATACATGTGTCTTGCCTGGGGCTCACTGCTTCACTTCCCTGTGTGAAATCCTTTCCGGTTGTGGTTTGGTCTGCAGCTGGTCTGTTTTTATCGATCCTCGTCTGTTCTGTACTGGAACATCTCCTCTCTCTGGCTTTGGAAGTTTGTCTTGGATCGTTCTGCATCTGTGCTGTTGAAATGTTTTTGGTCGGTCTTTTTCATCCTTTTGACTGTGTTTCTTGGGTTTGTCGGCAGGGTGTGTTTGTTTTTTGTCGACTTTCTACCCCCCCAGTCCTGTATGGAATCAGTGGTGTGTTTTGCTGAGTCTAGACTGCTTGTGGTACCGACAGATGATCAGAGGTGTGGACTTAGACTGTACTTAGACTTGAGAAAATCAAAAAGCAGCTTGACTTTTTTCAACACCAGACTCATGACTTCACTGACACTTAAAGGATAGGTTCACAAATATTCAAGTTTATCTTAAAACAATTGTCAGGTGTTCATATGGACATTGAAACAGGTTCCTGTAATAATTCATCCTGTTCATATTAGTTAAAAGATGCCTTCCCAATTCCCAAGTCAGTATTTTAACTAGTTTCTTCCATTGTAGCCATGTAGACAAGTCTTTAAAATAGAATGTATATGCAAATTAAACTTTACAGAATAGATCATTGTAGCATTAAAGGACCAGTGTGTAGGATTTACCACCATCTAGTGGTGAGGTTGCAACCAACTGAAACCCCTTGACTCAACAAGCACAAAGGAGAAACTACAGTGGTCAACTACCAAAGGCCCCATCTAGAGCCAGTGTTTGTCCGTCATGGTGGTTCAACATGGCGGACTTCGTAGACGAAGACCCGCTCCCTCTGTAGACATAAATGGCTCATTCTAAGGTAACAAAAACACAACGATTCCTATTATCTGGTGATATTACACTAATGAAAACATATGAAATGGTAAGGATGCATGATATGGATATTTTTTCAGTCAATACAATAAGCGATAATTACATGATTCTCATGGCCAATACCGATAAGATAACCAATAATTTAACATTTTCCTTTTTTAAAAAATTCATAACCTTTTTAGTTTTTACACACTTGATGGTAAGAAAGGCTTAGATGTAGTAAGCAAAGATGTATAATTTATTATTCCACAGCTCTGTTTGAACCAAATCTAACAAACAACAGTTCTGATTCTTCAAATGTTTGTTTATTTTTTCTTGTAAAGTTAATCAAAAAATATTCTTTGTCTTCCATAGGACATAAAGCCAATCAAACATTTTGCATTAGAATTCAATACATTTTTATAATGGCAGTAATTTAATTATCCTGATAATTCATAATAACATACATTTCCAATTACCTGCTGATAATTTATATTCCATTACTGCTAATAGATCATCCTAAATGTTACACACTGGATCTTTAACTGAAGTCTAAAGAAAATGTAAAAGAATATGAACATTTTATAAGCTTTTTTGGTTACTGGTGGGTTGAATGGGAGGAGTTCGGCGTCCTGACCTCAGTATTTCTAAAATTCTCCCCACTACCCTGCATGCAGCAGTCAAAACAGAACAACACGCCAAGATATACCTGATAGTTTTGCTTTCAAATATTGAATTGAAAGTAATACACTGACATTTTAAAAGGCTTTTGTGTGCTATACTAACTGTTTATAGATTTAAAATGTCATTACATCAGGTGAAGGGCACATAGTTACTTGTGTGTTGGACTCTGAAGAGACATTTAGGACCATTATTTGACTCTGACTTGTTGGTCTTGCCTCACTTGACTCACTTGCACCACAATGACTTTGTCCCACCTCTGCAGATTATTAAATTGTGTCTTTGCGTGTGCTGAAACTGTACCTTGCCTCCTTCTCTACCTTCATCTCTGTGCTTCTATTGTTGTCAACCTTCTTCTGAACTGCCTTTTTAAACGCTGTACAAACTTCTCTTCGGCTTTATTTTTCCAACACGTTCTCTCTCCCTTTCTCTCTGTGGCAGAAATCTCGCCGCGACGTCGGCAACTTCGACAAGGAGTTCACAAAGATGGTGGTGGAGCTGACACCCACAGACAAGCTCTTCATTATGAATCTGGACCAGAACGAGTTCCAAGGCTTCTCCTACACCAACCCAGAATTCATCATACAAGTCTGAGGAGTTCCTGTTGGTTAGACGCAGCCCGGACTAGACTTTACTCCAGCTCATACAGCCCAGTTAACGTTCATCCAGCATCTCATCGCACCACCTAGACTCAAATCCCTGAAGCTAAAGCCACAACGTCTCATTCAACCTCAGCTCACACCAGCATCTAAACAGGACAATAATCATAAACCACCACACTTACATATGCACATCTACAAACACACGAGCGGCAGAATAAAATACAAACTACAGATGGCTTTAGCTGCTGGTTGGTCACAGTGGAACTGAGTCTGACCAGTGACCACGGACCACTAACAGGCCAGTAAACTCCAGGCCTGTGTAGTATTCACAGGACCTCGTGGCGAAGCACGTCGCTGCAAAGGCCGGCAATCAAGAGTCATAGAGAATGTGTAACTGTATGTATGTGCTATTATCGATCAACAGCAGTGTGTGTGTTTGCTTACTTGATTTTCTTCGACCTGTAAAAGTTACGTCATGAACATTCCATGATCAATATGTCATGTATGTGCTCTCTCTCACACAAACACACACACACACACACACACACACACACACACACACACACACACACACACACACACACCTACACACACACACACGTGTCTGTGCAGGCTGACGTTTGAAAGGAAGAAAGGTTTTGAATGATAATAAGTCCTGATTTATAACCTCATGTCTAAGTTAGTCCTGAACTTAGTCTTAAGCACGTCTTGTCTTCCAAATTGATGCAAAAAAAAGAAAAGAAAAAAAAGAAGAGAAATCCCCCAAATGCCTGTTTGGCAGCGATATTTAAAACTGTCTCTGTCTTTTTTTCTCTTGCTTAATCTCTCTCTTTCTCTTTTCTCTATGGCACTGTGTATGCAGTGGGTTAGTGCTGTGTAGGCCTATACCGTCTTTGTGGTGCAGCTCCTCTATGCATGCCATATTTGTTGGTACAGTAGTTCCTTAAGATATGCTTTTGACATCACGGAGGAGAAAAAAACTTGGTGTGTTGACTTTATCGATGCAAGTGACTTTTGAAATATCCATGCTCAGAGTTTTAGTTTCCACTCAGAATGCTGTGTCTCTACTAGTGTCAAAATATGTGTGGCTAAAGAGTTTGCTTTTACAAAAGCACGGAGCAAAGACCGTTTTGCTGTCCTGCACAAGAAAATATGAGATTTTGTGAAATGAACATTTAAAGTATATGTAATAATTCTATATGACCTGTGTTTCAGTGTATGTGTAAATAGGAATGGGATCTAGAGCTAGAAGTGGTTTTCATGTTATCGTACACTATTCCTCACAGCCCCATCTCCCTTTCTCTCTGCACTTTATCCCTACCAACCCACTCAGCTGTCACTTCTTACTTTGTTTTCCCATTTCTATCTCTCCCCTTCTCCTCCTCTCTCTTCTTTTCTTTTTCCTCCTTCTCCAGTCCTCCCCGGTCCCCAACTAAGTCTCACACCAGTACATTTTAAGGAGATGAAAGTGGGAGATGTGATAAGAAGGACAAGAGGGAGAGGGGGAAAAGAGGGGGGAGAATTAAGTGTTTACTATGCAAAATGCAGGAGAAGAAGATGAAGAGGGGAAGAAGGCAACTTTTATAAAGCAACCTGAATAAATTGTGTTACAGGACAGTATACATGTGTTGCATGCGCCGTGTTTACCTGCGCGTGAGAGACACTTACAGTATGATACCTACATTAAAGTGAATTATCATAATACCATTTCAGTAACTCTGGCTCTTGTGTTTTACTACTGGATGAAATCCTGCTATGATGATGACACTGAGGTCTGTGCTGATTGGTGATTGATGCAGTCTCTTTCTGCACCCAGCTGACGTCGAGTTGAAAAAGATTTTAAGTGTAACTACCGTAAAACTTTAATTAATAGCCCTGGCTTTTATTTGCTTTAATCACTGAACTCAACCTGCCTGTATTTAAAACAGGTCATGTCTTTCTTTTCTTTTGCACAAAACTCTTACTCTACTATCAAATTGTTTATTTAAACCAGTATAAATATTACTTGTATAAAAATTAGGCTATTGAATAACATATATCAATTATATTTTGGTGCTCATGGTTTCCTTAAAATGAACTGAACGATTTGAATTGTAGAGAATCTAACTGATCTAACGATGTGTAACATGTCCATTTTGACTAGTTTAAATATTTATATTTGTGTAGGCGATCTTAGCTTAGCTTAAACTCTCTGGAGCGGGCGACCTGGTGGGCTTTAAAAGGGATTTATACATCCAGAGAATTTCTATAAACTCCAGACCAGGCATCTAATTGAGACCTGCCTTTATGGGACCCGCATCTAATTGGGACACTGCTTTTAATTTAAGTTTTACGGTACATAAGCAATAACATGTTTATGGCTCTGTGTGAGGTAATGAATTCAGTTAAAAACTGCAAAAACCTACAGATGAACAGTTTGCATAAAAAATAAAAAAAACAGGTTGGTCTATAAAAAGTAAAAGTAGTTGATTTAATAAATAAAAGATACTATAAGATGACATTCTTGTGACATTTTTGGTTTGGCATTGGGTTGGATCCTAGGCTCTGCACCAGTAATATGTTGATCGGAAACAAGAATCCTTTTAAGCATCTACTCCTTCTACCTCATTGAAAATCCCAGAATCTATGAATATGCACATTTTGTTCATTTCTGAAGTTTTCTTTCTGGACACAAGATGTCTCCTACTTCACTGTTGTAGTCGATTCTCTGTGTGTATGTGCACTGGCAGCTTCACGTGTCTACATCACACTTGTTTAAGTTGCAAACTGGACCATAATTCATAGCTTAAGGTCAGATGTCACATATTGACCAACCAACAGTCCAAAGCTAAAGATAATCAATTCACAATTATATAAAGTAAGTGGAAAGCAGCAAGCAAACACTTCTGAGAAGCACAACCTGCACAATGTTTGGCATTTTTGCTTCATACCGTAATCAATTAATCAATCATCACATTAGTTGCTGGCTTATTGATTGTTTCTGCTTAACTGAAGTTTATTGTTCTCTTTCATTAATCTTTATCACTGGTTGAGTTTTGATCTCTGCTTTCTATTACATCAAAGTTTCAAGAAAAATCCAACTTTAAACACAAAATAAATACAGTTCAGCTCAGACCTCATATTTTGAACATGACTACTGGTTTTGAACATTAAATATTTGTACTAACCTTCAATTCTTTGCCAAACAGATGTCAAGTGGAAACCTGATCACAGTTAGTTTACTGGAAATAAAGAAATATATGTAGATATTTCAGAAATATGAAGACTTTATAGTCTAATGTATGTACTATAATTCCTTTAAAATGGAAACCACATTTTTGTTGATTTTAACCGCTTTGACCTCTTCACATATGCTCACTCACTTTATATTCAAACCTTTAAATATTCATATTCTCATTAATTTATTTTATTCATTCATATGAAGGAGCCTAGCTCCTCTCTCATTTGCTGGTGGATGGAATCCTGATGAGCACATTAATATGAAGGATGAATTATAAGCTATGATATCAGCCTCTCCCACTCTCTCTCTCTCTCTCTCTCTCCGAGCAAATCCCCTTCCTGAAGCACAACCCAAGTTTTTCATAATCATCCAGCCAAAAGAAATTATCATAAATGGAGGAAATTGTACTAAATAGTACATCCCTCATGTCAAGTTTCACATACAAGTCTCTTTCCCCCATCATTTATATAAACTAATACAAATATTGATCAAAAAGTATCTGGTTATTATTGGATTAGTGCATTAATGCAGCACTTTATGGGGCTTTCTTATTATCGCTGCTGTGCTGCTGTCCATGGTGCTGAACTGGTGGGCTGATTCCGGTTACAGGGACCATGTATGCTCAATGACAGGAACACACACACACACACACACACACACACACACACACACACTGGAGGGCGGGATTATCCTGCAGTCAGCACCAAACAGAGTTGAGCTACAACAAACCAGAAGGTGTCCAGAAGAGCGCCGCTGTCGCTGTTTTTTTCCCAACAACTTTTTGTTTTATGTATATTAGATATAGATTAAGGCTATTTCCACAGTTTTCCTCTCGACCTTGTTTTTTTCTCTTTAACTCTTCAACTGTATTACTGACTAAACAGCAACATCCAGTAATCCTCTCCTGCGCCCTCGACATGGAAACATCCAAACTCAGTGAACCAGGTCTCATGCGCGTAGCTTAGGGGAAAGTGTCCCGAAACCTGCACAGTTATCCGACTGCACAAGTATAGCGCAGGTTGCAGAAGATGTGCACAAAAGCTGAGTTTCCTTCGGCCGAGTGGATCCACACTAAGATAAGACGTCGGGAGAAAGTTTTCAACAGTTTCTAAACTGCTCTGTTACCGCTGGAGGACTCCTCGGCGTGGAGGAGGAGGAGGAGGAAGAGGAGGAGGAGGCCGGGCCGACATGAGGCTGTGTAACCGGGGTGTGATGATGCTGCTGACCACGGCGGGGGCTTTCTGCGCCTTCAGCCTCATGACCATCGCCGTGGGAACGGACTACTGGCTGTACTCCCGAGGGATGTGCCGCTCCAAGAGCCAGAACGACAACGAGACCGTCCGCAAGAACGAGGAGGTCCTGACCCACTCCGGTCTGTGGAGGACCTGCTGCACCGAGGGTAGGAAATAAACTGTCTGTACTGTCAACACTGAGTTTACACAGTTCACCGTTACACCGGTATCTACAACAGAGAGTATTTGTAAACATCACAGAAAAAAATATATATATATATATATATATATATATATATATATATATATATATATATATATATATATAGTGAAGGATAAACTATAAGTTCCTTTAGGTACATCAAGCCTATTACTGCCACATGAGAGAAAATGTTGGCCTGCAACATATTGAGAGATAGATAAATAAATAAATAAATAAATAAATAAAGTTAACCAACTATAAATGGTCATATATATATAGTCAAGTATTTAGATCAGATATTCAGATAGAAAAAATGATAGAAAATGTTATGTAAGTATTATTGTCAAAAAATTACTTATTATATAAAGTATATATAAGTATCAAATGTAAAAGTAAAAGAAGAAGAAGAGTGGCCCCTGCAAGTTTTTTATTTTCATAAACTTTATCATTTGATTACTATTATTTTATGTGTAAGTAGCATTTTAGAAATATTTGAAACTATTTTATATACCATTGAGTTGTTTAGTCAATAATAATATATCATATTTTCTAAATTATGTTTTATTTGTACAATTCTAATGTAAAGTAATGATAGTTGTTAAAAGTAGTGTAGTAAAAGAAACCTGATTTTCCTCTGAATTGTAGTGGAATGTTATGTATAAAGTAATGAAATGGAAATACTCAAGTAAAGTACGAGTGGATCAATATTGTACTTAAGTACTTGAGTTGTAAATGTTGACATTCCACCACGTTTAGCACACAAACAGAAGTAATAAACAAAATAAAGACAAAGCCACAAAAACATTGGGGTAATTCTGTTAATTCTAAAAAAGTGTTTTTAAAAGCTTTTTATAATCAGTGGCACAGAGTTGGGTGAGCTGAGGGTGAGTTTGTTCCACAATATTTGGGCTTAAACAGACATAAACTAAACTTTATTAACCAGCCTTTTGAGCCCATAATGGTCATTTTAACTACATTTGAGGCTCAGGTGGATTTATGGTTTGATTTGAAATCCTGAAGATGAATCTTGGGGAGATGAGTTTTGGACAAGTGATGGATGGAAATGACAGTTTTAATTATTTATAGCTTTATAATAGCACCACTCTGTCTCTTACCCTATATCAGATGTGTGTTTAGCTAATTTTTCTGAATGAAATGAAAACGTTCAGCTTCTCCCTCATACACGGTTCCTCTCAGCCCCTCCCTCTGCCGCTGCCCCTCTATCTCTAAGCTCCAAAATGGTTTAATGGAGAGGTAACAAAGCATGCAGAGGACATCAATGCTTCAACAGTCCTGTGTGTTTATGTTTGTGCGTGTTTGTGCGTGTGTGTGTGTGTGTGTGTGTGTGTGTGTGTGTGTGTGCGTGTGTGCGTGTGTGTCCGTCAGCCTGCATCACAAAAAGCCGAAGGCAGACACAAAGACAGGAAGCTGAAGGCCGTCTGTGAACTATTTGCAATAAATAATTGTAAGATTTGAATTTATTTTCTATCAGGGAAAATACAACAATAATAAATAGTGACATGACAGGAATAACAAGGACAGATACAAAATAATAATACATGAGGACAGACAAAGGACGACAGGGTGACTTATAGCTGTGTGCACTAAACACAGACAGTCATTTATAGTAAGACGCAGTTAGTGTCTTCCAGTGTCGAGGGGCAGAGGAGCTCGGTTATTTTCATGTCAAGCTACGACTAAATTGTCCTCCAAAGTAACAGCTTGAAGAAAGACTAATGGTACAAAGCTGGTGCATAATGAAGTGTTCAGAAAATATCTATTCCTGCTTAGAGGAAGGAGAAAGATAAAATCCTAGTTTCACACGTTACCTCACCTCTCTTGGTGTCCTGAAATTAATTTGAATAAACGCGTCCTATGTACTGTGCTCTTCCCTATGATCTGTTCACCGTGGCCGAGTTGTAGAGTACTGAATGAGTTTTGTTTTGGTAACCATGGCGACCTGAGTCCCATCATCAATACTGTTCAATCAGTGCAGCACATAGGGACACATTTATCAATATATCCCCGTGTGTGCAAATGTTGAAAGGCACTGCTGTGCCAAAGGTTACTGAGAGCAGGAAACATGTGTGCAGCTTATTTCTGATCTACACAGGATCATGTTAAAATACATTAAAGCCTTTATAGGTTATGATAGTGATAGTCTGTGTGTCTGGATGCTGGATGATGGGTGATAATGCCAGGAGATACTACCTGTACTAGTTTAATATCACTCTTCTATGTTTCATATTTATACAGATACACAAGAAACAGTGGAAAAGGGCTTTTGAATAATAACAGCGATCACAGGAATAAAGTGTCAAATGCAGAAAAGTGAGAAAATTTAATATGCTGAATATATGCACAAATAAGAGCACTCAGCGGACTGAGGAACACAAAAAACATTGTTTGAATGGCAGCTACTCTGGTTTGCAATGCGTTTTAAACTTGGCAACAGCATTATTACATTTTCTCTCTTTACTGCTTTTGACAGCTCATCTTCTTATGTGAAGGTTATTACCACAATTTGGGAGAAATAAAGATGTTATGAAGAAAAAAAAACTGCATTTGGGAACATAAACATTAGCACCATGTGAATATAACTGAGCCAGCTCAAGCAGAAATATCAGGTCTTGGAAACTCAAATAGTCTGTGTACAAATTCAAATTGTAGTTTGTCTGCTATTAAACCATTTAGAGTCCTTACTACTTTGCCCTGAATGATGGTTAGCAATAGAGTAGAACATGTTTTTTTTTTTTTTTTACATAATTACCTGTTAAGGCCAATGAATAAATAAGTGCATTATCGACACTAATTTGAGGTCCCCTGAGTATGCTTTTAAACTGAAATGTGAAGAGCTGATGGAGCTCTTATGGTAAATTTAAATGTAGAAAACATTCACTTAGCATTTGCTTTTTTATGTAATTTTGACATGCTGGATTGTTATTGTATAATTGATTGTTATTCCTAGAAAAGTAAAAATTTGATTAGTTAAATTCTAGCTAATCATTTTTGTCTTAGTTTTTGTTGTAAATAGAAAATAATTTGACATTTTTTTAGTTAATAAAAACCAGAAATGTTAAAATGTTAAGCTTAAAATGAGATGATATCAGAACTAATCTCTTTGTGTAGCAGGGAGGAGATGCAAGCTGATGTTCTTTTAACAGCAAACCTGACCTGGTGTGTTTTCACTTAACATAAAATACAACAAACACTGTCCTTAATCATGGTTAAAGCTGACTTAATATGACTAAACCTGAATAGCAAAAGACTATGATTTGCTGTCAAAATGAACTCTGATTTAGATCAAATAAATTGACTTCTGCAGAGCTGAATTATCTAAATGAGTTATTCCTAACCTATGGGTCAGTATGGGTCAGAGGTCCCAAGAGAAAATCCTAAGATAATTTGAAGAATGAGAGATAAAAAATAAATATTTCTGCTACAAAAGAAGTTATTTTAACTAGTTTTCTTAAATTTTAACCTTTTTCTTGTGAAATACTCAATAGTTTGACCCCTTCAGGTCCCTAAAAATGCTCCAAATTAAAGTATCTGAGAAGAAAAATTATGGATTTCATTAAAATGCTCAAAACTCCTGTCCATAATATACATGTCATGATGATGGGTAGGCATTGTTTAATTTTAAGCCAAAAAGGTTGCTGACCTAAATCAGCCACACCAGTGTTTCTCTTATGTCCAGAATGTACACAATAAATGACAAACTTCCTACAGCAACTCAGTAGAAAACAGTTCAGACAAATATTCTCTGAGCTTTAGTCTGAAATCTTGATGGAGCTTGGAGCTGGATCGTATAAAAGCAAACAAAAGATCAATACAGTGTAGCCCATTAGATGGTAAGCATCACATTTAACATTATGCAAGTTACTGTTAGAGAGAGCATGCAAAGTGTACTGGGTCAAAGACACTGTGACTTCTATAAATTATACAGTTTGTATATCGTGTGATAAAATGATACAGAGCAGAGTGATGCAGAGTCATTTAGTTATTGAATGAATGTACTGTGATGTATTTTGTTGTCTTTTTCTGTGTCTTTATGCAGGGACATTTCGGGGCGTCTGCAAAGACATTGATCACTTTGCTGAAGATGCCGACTATGAGCAGGATGCGGCAGAGTATTTACTACGTGGGTAACAAATGTGCACATATAACTGTGAGATCTAACAACTATAATGGCGGTTTCAGGTATTCAAATGTTCCACTCTCCTCTCGCCACCTCAGGAGCGGTACGAGCCTCCAGCCTCTTCCCCATCCTCAGTGTGGGATTGTTATTTCTCGGAGGTGTGTGTGTAGCTGCCAGCGAGTTCTACAAGTCACGCTACAATGTCATCCTCAGTGCGGGTATACTCTTTGTCTCTGCAGGTCAGAAACACACACACATCTAATGTGCATGCACCCAGGCTCCAGTATTTGTCACCTATCTGACCCTCTCCATCCTAAACTCTTCCAGGTCTCAGTAACATAATTGGCATCATTGTGTACATATCAGCCAATTCAGGTGACCCCAGCCAGAGTGACAACAAGAAGAGCTACTCCTACGGCTGGTCTTTTTACTTTGGAGCTCTGTCCTTTGTGCTGGCTGAGATGGTGGGCGTCCTGGCAGTGCACGTGTTCATAGAAAAACACAGACAGCTGCGCACCAAAGGCCGGCCTTCTCTCATAAAGCCTCCCATCTCCCGCAGCTCATCTTACTACCGCAACCGCTACTACCAGAACCGCTCCCGCCGATACAGTTACAGGAGCAACCACAGTGCAGGGGACTCCTTTCGAGCATCCATGGTGCGAGACCGAGAGCCGTCCATCTCCGCTGAATCCAAAGTCATGGCAGGTTTGCCAACATCAGTGACAGTGGGGTCAGAGTTCATGCTCTACACCTTAGCCTCGCCTCTCAAAGACGGTAAGATTGACATGGCTGTGGATGATTTAACCAATGCAGCTGCTCACAACAACACAGACATGCTGCCTGGAAACTGTGCTGCCAACAGAAGGACCACGCCTGTCTGAGAGGAGAGGAACGGGAGGAGGGAGATGTGCAGTGATTAAACACAAGAGGGACTTCTGTAAGAGAAACATTAAATAAGAGAAAATCCTCTGACATTCTTAGTAAAGAAAAAGGAAAGACTTTGGAAACTGGAATAGGTCTGCATCGAGTAATCTGTTGATTATATTTTTGATTAGTTGCTGTGAAAAAAGGAATTGTCAAAAAATAGTGAAAAACAAAAAACACAATCACAGTTTCCCAGAGCCCAGTGTGATGTCTCCAAATTGCTTGTTTTGTCTGACCAGCAGTCCACAATCCATATTCTATGAAATGGATAGATATTCCATTTACAATTATGTAAATGAAGCAAAACCTTGTGTTTGAGAAGCTGAAATATAACTCAATTATCAATCAAATAATCAATCGCCTAATTATTCCAGCTCCAAATTTAAGTAAGATTTACTGCTGACAAGCTCTAAGAAAAAAACGAGATGAACACAATTTTGAGATCCAATATGGTTTGTGCTCTTTGTATGTCATTCTGCTATGCTATTACAGTAGTTATAGCTACAGTAAATCTGTAGTGTGTGCGAATTAGTGTGTATAGTAAAAGGCATGTGTGTATGACAGTCAGCAGAGAGAGACAGAAAGGAAGGGGCTGTTCTAGAAAATAAGAAACTATCACACATAAACACACGTGGGAATGACATGACTAACTATGGCCTGTTCCTGTCCTGCTTTTTGGTGGACCTAAGCTCAAAATGGAAACCCCATTAAATGCGTTGGAACTGACTCTTACTGTCTCTCACTGTGTCTGTTTGTGTGTCCGAGTGTGTATTGCGTAAGCATGTGAGCATTAAGTGTAACAAAATGTTCTGCCCTTGCAGTTATGTCCTACCTATGTGAGTCTCTGTTTACATCAAATAAAGCATATAAATGAACACAATGTGTGGTTTGGAGAGAAATAAGTGTGGTTCAAGGTGTAGTATCTGTGAGTGTAAGAGAGAATATTCAAATATCTGTCCTTGCATAAGTGGGAACAGAAGCAAATGTACATGCCAAGTATAAATATACAAACAATTCATCAAAAAATGATTGACCCACCTGTACTGAAAACGATCGTGAGCATCGTGTGTGTGGACATGCATGAGTAAGCTGTGTTAGAGATGATGACAGGACAGCTTCACAGACGTACAACAGCAGAGCAGCAGGCCGACTGAGAGACCTGATGCGTTACTATGGCAGCAGCATCATTCAGGAGAACATTCAAGGCAGCTGTGATGAATACGCTCACAGTGCCATCGTGTACTGACCACACAAGAAAATTACCTGACAACATCATAATATAGTTGCCATGTCAACTGTACAAACCACATCACAGTTTCGGGCCTTTTTAATGAGTTCATACTTATATCTTACTCCACAGTGTCTATTGCCCACAGGAGGAAACCACACATATTGAATATAAAGTATGATTTCAAGCCTTGTTCTTTGCATGATGGTATTGTTTCAGAGATATTTAAAATCCTGGCAGCGGTGGGATTCAAACCCACACCCGCAAAAGAGACTGGAGTCTTGAACTGAACAAACTACTTGGGTGTCAAGCACTACTTTTAAATGGGTTCACATTTATATCCTATTCCACAGTGCTTATTGCCAAAGTATTTTAGTATTTTTTCCTCTAATGTGCGGTTTCAAGTATTGAACATTGACTGTTAACATTATTTCCAATACCTACATCTAAAACTGATGACAGCGGTGGGATTTGAACCCACACCCCCGAAGAGACTGGAGCCTTAATCCAGATTGATTGATTTAGAGGTTGGATATTGGAATGATATAGAATAGATAATATAAGAGAGTATGTAGATATTCTATTTTCTGTTTTATTCGCCGTATAACAGCGCTGAAGATACAACAGGGATCCTTCACAAAATAACATAGAAACCAAGATAGTTCACATATATCTTGTGTTGCTAATGCCATCATAAAGGTTAGGATGTACGATACAACGATACATTTCATTTTAATAGGTTCATATCCATATTCATCTTATGTTCTACTTGTCTTTCCCACCACTAACAGTGGGTTTAAATCAACTGAACCCATTAAACAGTGAAGTTGGTCTGGCTGTAAAACCAAAACAGTGAACTGAAAGACAATAAAACGCTCAATAGACAGACTACAGAGCAGGGCGATCCCTCTGGTTTTGTCCAATAGACACCTCTGATATCACACGTACATCGATACACAACTACCACAGTTTCCCTGTCAATCATACATTGCCTTTGAGTGTCAAGCTGAGTATTTTAATGTGTTCATATTCATATCATATTCCACAGTGTATATTGCCTACTGAGAATTTTTCCCTCTTATGTGTGGTTTCAAGTATTGCCCTTCGACGAGTAGCATTATTTCCGATACATATATTTAAAACATATGGCAGCGGTGGGATTTGAACCCACGCCTCCGAAGAGACTGGAGCCTTAATCCAGCGCCTTAGACCGCTCGGCCACGCTACCCATATACCTAAACAAAAGAGAGCCGTTTCCGGTCCGTAAATTGATGAGATGGTTGAATATTGGAGTTATATAAAGTAGATAATAAGAGGGTATGTAGAGATTCTACTTTCTGTTTTATTCGCCGTATAACTTCACTGAAGATACAATAAGGATCCTTACAAAATAACACGGAAACAACCAAAGAACACTAGGAAACCAAGATAGTTCACATATATCTTGCAACCCATGTGTTGCTAATGCCAACATAGAGGTTAGGATGTGCGATACAACGATACATTTGATTTTAATAGGTTCAGTTGATATTATTGGGTTCATATCCATATTCATCTTACGTTCTATTTGTCTTTCTCACCAATAACAGTGGGTTTACCTGAGCTTTTTTGCTGTAAAAAAACTGCCTCTAGAAATGGGTTTGATGAGAGCAGTGAGACTGGACCAAAACAGTGAAGTTGGTCTGGCTGTAAAACCAAAACAGTGAGCTGAAAGACGATAAAACGCTCAATAGATGGACGATAATTCTCTCCGATTTTGTGGATTAGTCACCTTGCACATTACACATACTTCGATACACAACTACAACAGTTTCCATGTCAGTGATTTGAGTGTCAAGCAGAATATTCCAGTGTTTTCATATTCATATCGTATTCCTCTGTGTCACATACGGAACAGTCAGCATTTTTCCTTTAATGTGTGGTTTCAAGTATTGCCCTTCGACCAGTAGCATTATTTCCGATACATATATCTAAAACTGATGGCAGCGGTGGGATTCGAACCCACGCCCCCGAAGAGACTGGAGCCTTAATCCAGCGCCTTAGACCGCTCGGCCACGCTACCCATAAATCTAAACAAAAGAGAGCCGTTTCCGGTCCGTCCATATGGAATAGTAAAGTTATATAGATAGAGGTAGAGTTATATAAAGTAGATAATATAAGAGGGTATGTAGAGATTCTACTTTCTGTTTTATTCGCCGTATAACTTCACTGAAGATACAACAAGGATCCTTACAAAATAACATGGAAACAACCAAAGAACACTAGGAAACCAAGATAGTTCACATATATCCTGCAACCCTTTGTGTTGCTAATGCCAACATAAAGGTTAGGATGTGCGATACAACGACACATTTGGGATAAAAGTTGAATTGTTGTAGCTGGATCAATTGATTTATGAAGTAGTAGAGGACATATGCACTAAATCAGCACCTACAGCTTATAACAAAGAATAACGACAAGTTAGACGGAAGCTATCCCTCTTGCCTTCGTGTGTACTCTTTGGCAGAACCCTGGATACATCCGGTTCCGGTCGAAGCGCCATTTTGATGAAACAGCGAGGAGAGAAGCAGTTCGGACCATCGAAATGGATTTCTTTTTTTTTTAATATGGATTAAAATTGAAGATTAATCTGGATACACAACTTTCAACGTTTCATTATGGAAAATAAGCGCGTACCGAAGAGGAATCTTTGCGTCCTGGCTGCGTAACTGCTGGGTTTTGTGTCGTTTAGCCGTCAGATAACTTGGGCAACATTGTTAGCATAGCAGCATTTAACCGTTAGCTTTTGTTAGCAGAGTGTTTTCATGTGGTGTTGAGGTGACGAGCTAATTTACGAGTTTTCAGAATAATAATAATACTATATTTCTTTTTTTTTTTTTTTTTTTGGGGAGGTGAAAACAACGATAACATAAAACTCGTGGACTCGTTGCGGAAGCTCCGACACAGTTTGTGGATTTTCCTCTTTCTCTCTCTCTCTCTCTCTCTTTTTGTTTTTTATTGTTGAGCTCGGTAGTGTTTTGTCTTGACTTAAAAACAAGAACTGTTCCAACCAAAAGGCAACAACATTCCCCCACCCACGGACTGCTCACTCACTGGAAACCCCAGGCCTGCTGCTAGCTCCCTCCTAGCGGCTTGCAGCGCGGCGGCCCGGGGCTTTCCACCAAGGACAACTCACGACGGACTTGGCCTCGTTTACATCCATGTGATAGGGTTTCCCCCTCGGTGCTGGATGGACTGTGTTGGATTTGGTGGCACCGTGTTGTGTTTTAACGGACCTTTAAAGAACTGAAGAGGCACACTGCGCCGCTCAATGGCGCGCCGGCCTCGCACCTCGCTTATTTTTCTTTGGCAATAACAAGGACTCATCTGTCGACATCTGCGAGCTGAACCCTTCCTTATTTCAGTCCTCTTATTTGTCCACAGTGTTTCAGCGAATATAAAGAAGGTTTACCCATTAAAATCAACAGATTTAGCCTCCTGTGTTCAGTGTTGACGCTGTTTTATTTTGTTATCATACCAGGCCTGTGTTTTTTTTTTTTTTCTCTCTCTCTCCTTGTGCTTGATTGACTTTAAGTGCTTAGACCTGTAAAAAAAAAAAAAAAAAAATGTCGTGTGTTCACTATAAGTTTTCTTCCAAACTGGACTACAACACAGTCACTTTCGATGGGCTGCATATCACCCTCAGCGAGCTTAAAAGGCAGATTATGGGCCGAGAGCGCCTCAAGGCCACAGACTGCGACCTGCAGATCACCAATGCGCAGACGCGAGAAGGTACGTTATCAGCTGACACACTACAAAATGTGTGACAAAATATGTCATCCATTATTTGTTGGGGGGTTAGTGGGAGTGAATGACAGGCGGACAGTGTCGCCTGTTTGAATAGAAAGTTTGATGAGGTTGAGTTTTAAGTGTGAATATATGTTGTGATGCACCAAATTCAGGACTCTTCGTTAAAGTCAGGCTCAAATCTGTCTTACAGATTGTTGTACCGTTTGTTATGTGGTCTTTATAAATCATAAGGTAGGGGAAAATGACCATTGCAAATTCCCCGTACCCAATATAATGTCTAAATAATCTAAATAAATGAATAAAAAGACCATAAAACTAATTTTAAAAACACCCCTGAGAAGCGAGAACCAGTGAATTTCTGCTCTTATTTAATATATTTAAAAATATTTGTGGATTTTTCAATAGATTGTTTCAGCTCAGTATCACTCTTTTCACTAATTAATACCAATAGACTGTTTTTTTAATGGTCTAAATATGTTATAATGCTGAGTGAATATCGTAGTTACATGCAGTTTAATATTATGGGTATCAGCTTACCCAATCTAGTAGGTGATGAATTAAAATAAGATGCTAAAAAGATTTATATCAGTTTATATTATGTTACCGTTATTATTTTAAAAGATTTAATTATCATAGTAAACTAACAAACCTACAAACTACATCTAATGTGGTGGAAATTGCTTTGGCAGTTTGTGTTATGACTCCACCTGTAAAACCTCTTATTGACTTTTATACATGTGATGTTTTAAGTTGACCCAAGTCACAGATATACGATGCCTTTATACTGTAGTAGTGTTGGCAGTCATATTTTAATGTTTTCTCATCACTTGTTTCTCATTCTTTGTAGAATACACAGACGATGA